TTTGATTAAAATACTCTGATCGCACTGGGTTGAAAATGTTTATTGATTTTATCGGTTAGTTTAAAATAAAAATGGCAGTGTTTCTGGTGGAAAGGAGTTAGAAACGTTTCTGCGTGCGTTTAAGCGTACGTCTGCGAAGGAACTGTCGGTTTGGTATTGTTACGTTGCGTTGCGAGTGACGCATGGCGGAACTTATATCGAACGACCGCGCGAGGCTTGCGCTCTGCCCTCGGCGCACACGTTTGCGTAACTTTGCCGGCGGACCGATTTTTTACACACGAATTACGAGTACAGTTCGATCACTAATTAGAAAAATATATGCATAAGGTATACAATAAAATGTTCTTATTATTTAAATTAGACCCAATTTTAGGGCGATCATTAAGGGGTAGAGATGCTTGGGATTTTTGAAAAATCGATTTTCGTTTTTTTGCATTTTCGTTAAGTGTAGTATCTTGAAAATATTCTCTGAAAATTTCAAGTTGATCTGATGATTATTTTTTGAATTATTGGACTCTTACCAGCGCGCTGACGCAAGTGGAAAGCTCTATACTTATACTCAAGATTTTTTCCTTACCTCCTGATGTTTTAAAAGCTTTTAATCCGATTTAAGACAATCTCAGCAACGATAATTGACTTTCAAAATGTGTAGTCCAAGAAGCTTCAACCACTAGTGTGAAAAATATGCCCAAAAACCGTGAATACTAGTTCTTCAATCGTACAAATTGCTGAATACATATACATAATCATTTTTATTGATTATGGATACCCTAGGACCTAATTGTGGGTATAATTCCCATTGGTAAGCTGAAAAATTGGATGCTGCACGTGTGAAAGTGGCAGATCAGCGCGTCAACGGGAACACTCTGGAGGCCAGAAAGCTTCGTAGGCAACAGCAAATGGAAATTTTGGAAACTTGCACAATGACTAATGAACTATTATATGGCCCAGAAATAGATGACTCGGTTTTAGTAATTCAATAATTCGTATTTCTGTACGTAATTCCAATGAGAAATTTTAAACGCGTTTTTCTCAAAACTATGCTTTATGAACTCGTGACAACTGTAACTTAAAAATCGCTTAGTAGATTTTAATGAAATTTATACAGCTTTTAGAATACATAATAAACTCGGGACTGGTTGAAGGATTTTAATTTTTTCATAAATTAAATTTTTTAAGGCCAATTAACTGTTGATTTTTTCCCAAAAATCTAGAATTTTTTAATTTTTGCAAAGAAGGAAAAGCTTCGATCAGGCCCAGGATTATCTATTTATAAAGCTGTTTTTTTTTCATTCCATTGATTTTAGATGAATTTCCAAGGAAGTATGACTGTCACCGCCAGAACTGTTTTTTTTCGAACTGGGCCAACGAAACAGCTATAACTTTGAAAATATATTTTTTTCCGAATCTTTTGTTACTTCAAGTTAAAACATTGTATAATAATGCAGCATTACTAGTTTTGTAGAACACATCGTTTAATAACAAAAAAATACAAAAATGCTTATTTTTTCGTGCCTATGAGTACCCCTAACACCTTAAACGCTTAAAAACTAAAGATTATTAACCCCTTTTCCTCTTGGTGATACGTCGTAATATTGAAAATCACCCCGCATTCGCCATCAAACATTACGTGTGCTTTTAGTACCTAAAAACGTATTTTTTGTTTGAGGTAGTAAATACATGTGATATCATACTAAACCCTCCTCTTCCCCGCGTAATATTTTGTGGGTTTTTGTCCTTCTCCCCTTTACGCTACACGCGGTTTTAATAAGTATCTTATGTATACACACATTATATATATATATATATATATTTATATATATATATATACATATATATATATATATATATATATATATATATATATATATGGTAGTTCTTTTTATCCATCCTAGTTCTTTTAGGCATTAGGATTAATTCTTGCCTCACATTTCATAGTTCTTACTTTTTATTTATTGCTATGACGGTCTATTTTTTTTCTTCTGCACCATATGTCAAATACTGTACCTAACCATTTTCGGCCCTATTTTAAGTTTTGGGTTCCTGAAATTGTTAGATTTCATCAGTTTCTCTACGAAGATCAGTTCATTCTATACAGTCCATATAAAAACTATGTTCAAATTTACAAGTGTGGGGTTTGTACTTATCGTAAAATACTAAAAACATAAAAACTGTAGTGAATAAATTTTATTAATAACGTTTTCAAGTCATATGTCAAAAAGAATATTTTTTATTAATATTAGATTCTTGGGCTGGTCAAACGTACAAAGTATCATCCTCATAATAGTAATTTTGAACATAGTTTTTATATGGAAATAAATTATATCTCTTCTTCCGTATTATTGCTGTTATTAATACAAAATTATAATGTTTCAGGAATCACTTAACATTTATATGATCGTAGGTTTTATAAGTAATATTAAAATAAAAATTTACAGGAGTTACGGTGGACTTTATTATGGAATATTTAGCGAAAAATATAAAATTAATCGAAAATTCAAATAAATGTTAATATTATTCACACCTGAAATTATAAATATCAAACAAAAATAATAAAAAAAATATCATATCTGAATTGGGAATTGAACCCTGGCGCAAAAATTACAATTCCACGACGATAGCCACTCGGCCAATCCGCTATTGATAAGTAACGGCACTGCAAGCTATGCATGACGCGCGCTGCTAAAATGCAAACTTTAATTAATTTTTATAATTAAACCGCTTTTCATAGGCCTCTAATATTTTACCATGGTCAGTTTGGGCATCAAATCTACCATTGTGCCAAGTTTCATCAAAATCCGAGACGAGCAACGCGCGGGTTCTCCTTTTTAGTAAAAGGAATAGCAAGGCTTAAACATCTACGAACAAAAAGGTCCACCACCGATATCTCAAAAACAAGTAATATTAAGAATTTTTTAGCAATAAGATTTGAAAGTGGAAGGAAAGAGATGGAAGAAATGTTATTCATATGTCAACAGTTTTTTTAAATTACCGTTTTAGAAACTGATGCGTGGGTAGAATGTAACCTTTATTCTGGCAAAGGTGTAAACAATGAAAAATAGTAAACAAATTTAAACTAGTGGGGCGCATGGCATCATGCCCTGAGATAAATTGCTGGAACTTCCGTACCAATTTTTTTTTTTTGAAAAAGATTAACATTTTTGAAAAAAAATACATTGAAAAAATTAGATTTTTGATAAACTATAAATTTTTGACAAAAATTTACTTTTTTTAAAAACAAGTTTCATTTATTTTGGAAATTCTACACTTTTTTTATAGCAATTTTACTGCTTTAACTGCATAGAAACAAAATATAAAAGCGCGAAAGCGCTGCTTCGCCGTCTTACTGATAAACTGAAATGATATATGTAGTTGGTAGGAGGTCTAGGTAGGGATCAGTGGTAACTACAGTAGATTCTTTATCCAATTGGGTAATAAGTCCGTCCAACCCTTTCCTCGTGCCTTGGGTCGAGCAGTAGGAGTGAGTTTGAGTTACTGGTTTGATAAATAGGTCTCCTCGGAATAGTGAGCCTTTTTAGTAAGATATTAGCTGGAAGAAATAGGCTTCTTGCTTATAATCCAATATAAAATTCACTTGTTGTACTATACACTTTATTTATTTCTTCTTATTACAAATTCCGACAGACATAATCTTCTCGTAAGATATTCTAAGACTACTTTCTTAAGACATCATCACTTGACTAGACTCTCTCTTAAGACTCACTAGTTTACAATGATAGTTTTGACTCTATATATTACGTACTGGACATGTCAAATTCCCGGAATGGCGTGCTTCCAAAGAACTTGGACTTTGAATATTTATTGAACATTGAACAATAAGTTTATATTTTTATTAAAAAACACGTACGATTATGTTATTACAGAACAAAACATTGATACGCACCTATGGGAATGTAAAAAAAATTATGCCTGTTGGTAAAAACTCTACAAAATAATAGTAGTAGTAATAAATATGATAATTTGATGTGCATATGTCTAATGATCATTTTTGATCGTCAAATGGCATTTTTTATCTGCCTGCTTTATTAAAATCGGGCGCACCGTTCTCTTTAAACTGAGTTACCGTTTTTGGCACTTTCTGCCCCGTATCTTCGGAACGGCTAGACTTGCCTTTGCCAAAAACTAATCAGCATGTCTCATTATCAATACAAATCGAATGTTTTTTAAATTATTCAAATCGGTTATTCCATACTGTCGAAAAGGTCGAGGACATTTGTTTGGACCAAATACGTGAATTTTAAAATTAAAAATCTTGGTACGGAACCCAATAAAATTACACAACAAAAATGTATACACATTAATAAAATCTCTATACAATATCTAATAATTTGATGTGCATATGTCCAACGAACATTTTTGGCCGCCAAATGGCATTTTTTAACTTCCCGAAGGAGAAGTTTATGTTTTCATCAAAAAATCCGAATTGCTAATTTTATGTTTTCTCGACGTTTCAAGCCATTCTGAATCGAATGAGACCAAATTTAGAAAAAGTATGTGTGTGTGTGTGTGTATGTGTGTGTGTGTATGTGTGTGTGTGCGTGTATGTTAACAGATTTTTTGCCGTAAATCGACGTTTTCTCGAAAACGGCTGGACCGATTTTAAAAATTCAAAAGCCACTCGATGTATCTCGATGAGGACTATTGTTTGTCAATTTTGTGCGACGATCGGCCAAGTCGTTTCTTTATAAATCGCAATAAAGTGAAAAAATTTTCGTCTACGTTTTAGCCCGCAATTCTGAATCGATTTTGAAAATTCAAAAACCGTTCGAAAGATATTGATTGGGAATCGTGCTGATTAGTTTTTGGTAGAGATCGCCCGGGCCGTTTTCTTGTAATAAAGTTTTTTAAAAAAAAATTTTGAAGATTTTTATGATTATTTTTTTGACGGTAGATACCATAGTCTTCTATATCATACTAAAATATTACGGCCCTACGACAATTGGTTCAGCTTTAAAAATTCGTCAAAGTTTGCAAAAATT